AACGACTTTGATGCCCATTGAAGTAGCCCAGCGTGCCGTACTTAAAGTAAGCACTTTTTGTCCTTATTATTTTTCAACTGCAGCCCTCTATGAAAAATGTGAAGTGTTGACTGTTAGGCAATTGGCTGTACTTTCACTTATTCTCAAACAGCACAAAAAACTTGTGTATGATCCCAAAATTGAAGACAAGCGCAGAAATCATAAAGTTTGTACACAATCTCGTCGTTTTCGAACCACATTTGCACAAAAATCATATGCTTTTCTGGGACCACATTTGTATAACAAAGTAAATAAGATAATTGGAATATATAATTTAAACAATAATAAATGTAAATGCGTTCTTAAAAAATGGCTCCAAACTTTGTCTTATAATGATACTGAAGACCTTTTGAGTGTCGTCTCATAAATAATTTTTATTCAACATTATTGTATATATTTAGCATTATTGTACAATGTTACACCTACAAAAATTACTGTACACGTAACTAATTAGTTGTTCTGAGACTCTGTGGATTGAGAAGCGACATAAATATTCTTAATTGGTGATTATAGCGTATTTTACACCTTGTAATATTTTCTTTCTTGTACTTGTATTACTGAGAGGTGGGAACCTGGTGGCCTGACGCACAGGCATTTTTATGCTTAGCTTAGGCATCAGTCTCCCACAAAATTACTGTTCTTAAAAATTAAACTTGTGAACTAATCTTTAGCTATATTTTGTGGAAGAAAAATAAACTTTATTATTATTATTATTATTATAGTTAAGTCTGGCGAGCCAGACGGAGAGTTTGGTTTTACATTCGGCTTTGCTTAATTGATAAATATTTAGAGTTTTGTTCAAGAAATTATATATGTAGCTTCCGAGAAAACAGAAATGTCTCTGTGCGAGTTTGCTGTGGACTAATACAGGAGAGCACACTTGATGTTTCCTACGTGAGCCGGATATTTGTGTGGTTCATATGGTATTGTTTCATGTGTGATCAAAGTAAGATTTAATATAAATAATTGCCGCACTGAGAGAACCTTACATGTGAAGTACAGCTCGGATGTCGCGAATCTGTAAGGAAGATGCCAACCTACCTTAAGAACTGCTCTTTGTGCTCGTTCAAGTTTCAGCAAATGGGTCTTACATGCACCACCCCAGGTAGTAATGCAGTAGGAAGTTATGGATTGACCGAGTGCGAGATACACCATCCTTAGTAATCTGGCATCAGCAACACTGCGAAGATTTTTGAAAACGAATATAAGTTGCCTCAACCTTGCAGTTAGGACATCAATGTGAGCGTGGAAGTTAAGGTGCTGATCCAGTTGGACACCCAGGTACTTGACACAGTTAGTATTATCAAGTCTGGGGCACTGACAAATTACACCCTGAGTGGGAACACATGAGTGTGCAAGCAAATTATATTTAGAAGTAGGTGGAAGACCCAGGATAGAAGAGAAGAAGACGCAATTGTCGACCTGATACAAGTCATAAAGGACTACAACTTTAATATGGCCATCAGAATACACGACTCAGCGGTCGTGGACAAAATACTGAAGGTGTGGGATGTAGAGGAATGAATTTATGAATTTGAATTTAGTTTTGAATGAAGTTTTGCGGTCTCCCAAGCCAGAATTTTGTTAGTATATTGTAAAGTCTAATTATTTTGTGTGCAAAAAGGTATTATGTAAGAATATATATATATATATTCGTGCGTTAGTTTCACACAATGTTGCGCCTTGTTCGCAAAGTAAGTTAATTCTCCTTTGGGAATCCATAGCTGCAGCATTCTCAGCGTGTTTTGTTTTGCTTGATGGTTAAGTCCCAGGGAATGTGCGACACATCGGAAATTTGTTTTATCGTCTTCGGTGAGAATATCTCTAAGTGTTGTACGATTAGGGCCGGGAGATAGATAGCTAAGTAGACAAGTGACACATGTAATTTGGACAGCTTTATGTTGGTGCTTTCTGATAGTTTCGCCAAATCTTGAATTATATCCCCACGCTTTGTTGGTTGATATGTAGATGATATGGTAATGGAGCCGTCTCGTTCCGCTATGCTTACTGATGATTTTCCAAGGTGATCTGCTAGTGTTGAATAGCCGATATTTTCTTTTAATAGGAATTGAACAGCCCTCGTCATCGCTGCTGTCACCGTCGGTGACGGCGTGTTCGGAGGCGACTTGTTGCGTGTTGATTTCGACGGGAGTGAAGGATCTCCTAACTTGCTTCTCTTGTTGGGCTCTTGTTGGGCTGAGTCGCGGAGTGCTTGTAAAGCCCCCGCTTCGAAGTCGTCGGAGTCGTATTCATTATCGGGCTCATCGATCTCGTTTGTGTACCTGGTGGGGAATCGTCCTCCTCTTTCGGCTCCTCTACTTCCGCTTGCACCAACTCCTCGTCCTCGGGCAATTGAATCGCAGCTAGTTCGTCGTCGCTGTTGAGATCTTCCAGGTCTTGTGACGCTCCCGCCGACATTTTGATTGATGCTATTCCTCTTCTAGTTCACCGAGTGGTGCGTTTGATATAATGTGATACGCGACTTGAGTTTGTTCGTACATACCGAGTACTGTGTCACTCTTAGTCCTAGAAGGCCCTTTTATACTCACCGTGTGGCCTTGAACGCCCAGTTTGCCCTTTGCAACCGTCTCTTTCGAAAAGTTTCTCTTTTTGAGTTATTGTGTCTTAATGTGTGTTTGTGTCTCCATATAAGGGTGTAAAAATGTACACCTTTAAGTGGGTTAAGGATGTGTATATATATATATATATATATATACATACACACACAAAATATGACGTAATTATTTACAAACACAAATAATAATAATAATAATAAGAATAAAAAACATACAAAAAAAAAGAAAAAGAAAAAAGGAAAAAAATCTTTGGCTAGTTTAAGTGGAATAGTGTAACTAATATAAAAATAAGCGCGGATCATAATCAGATGTGAAAATTGTTTTAAAGAATTAATGAAATATAAAAAAAAAATATTCATAAATGGTACAGACCTCGAGTCTGTAGTGTGTAATTATTAGGGAGGAGGTTTTAGTCCGTAGGTCACTGGGCACACTTCCCAGTGAAGTCGTGCATGCCATCTGGTCCGGACTTATGGTATCCATGAGCATTTCCTCCTTCCGTCGAAAAAAAAACCTAATGGCGATGTCGCAAAAAAAATTTTAACAGGCACACCTCGTCTGGCTATAATCCTTTTGAGGCATGCTAAAAAAGCCTCAATAGTGAGATCACTAACTAGCTCCATATGGACTGCTTTAGTCGTGAAGCAAACAAAGAGGGCAATATAGTTTTAATTGGTTATAGTTTATTAGATATAATTGGTTTTCTAATACGCGATACCTTTAAATGAAATGGTCCGCAAAAATCAACGCCTACGACGTGAAACGGTCTTATAGCATCAAATCTCTCTTGTCTTATCTCTGTCAAATAAAACTATTAACCGACTTCAATTCTGGAATATGCTTAGTAAAATTAAACAAGATTTTTGGAAGGTCTGGTCAAGAGATTAACTTACACAATTACAAAGCCGCCCCAAATAGAAGCAAGTATATGCTAACTTAATTTTTTTAGTTTGATTGGAGACCTAGTTATTGTACGCAGTGATCATACTCCTTCTTTAACATGACCGATGGAAAGGATTGTTAAGAAAATCTGTGGACCTGACGGTAGAGTCAGGATGGCTGAAGTTAAGATGAGTAAAAAATTACATCCATTACCAATAGGCGATTGATAGAATTTCAGTTGTTTTCAACATCATTTTATAGTTTGATAGTTTTATTTTATAGTTTTCAATTTCTCTATAGTCTAAGTGGCAAATGTTAAAAATAATTAAGCATGTAGTAAACTTAAATTTTTATTGAATCTTAAAGTTATTGAATTTCTTACTCTTATGTATAAGTTGTTTAAAGTTAGTTTTTTGTGTTAAAGTACATTCTGTGTGCATTCATTTTATTTTGGCCCCGGCCCAACTACATATGTTTAAGGAATACTTAAACATATAATTTAAATAAATAAATAGTAATATAAGTAATAATATAATTTAGTACAATTAATAGACTCACAACATAGCAATGTTCTATTTTTATTTTGGTCAGGCAACACTGTTTTTTCTCTCTCTTCTCTCAAAACTCCCTTGTAACGGCAGGTCTAAATTTAAGCAATTTTTAGAAATACAGTCCGTTGTAAAATCAACTTGCATTTTATTTGTACAGTAATATTAAGTTTAACAACTAAAAAAAGAACTTGCCTATACAAAATACCCTTTTCCTCGATATCACCAAAATTTGTGTGCATTAAAACGCCACATGTGAATTGAGAATCGTATTAAAAAAAGTGACAGATTTCAAAATGACGATACCTACGAAAGTACCTAACAGCGCTATCTAGATTTGAAAGTGTGAATCACTATACTTTTAATAACATTAACAGATGGGACTTAATTGAAAATATAAATTATTTTTCGTGATGCAAAGAGCAGCCATACGTACACCTAGCTACACTTACCCATACTGACCTTACCGAAGGAATAAATGATTCTTTGATTACGAATGGTCACTACAGCAGCGTAGCGTTAATTCATCTTCACTGTTACACAACCACTTTATGTTGAAGGCTTCTCTAACTCGACTCCGAGCAGCCTCTTTTTTGAGAATAGCTGTATTCGCCACTGAAACTTAAGAACACACAACAATACCTTTCAGAATAATTTCTCTTAGTTAGAATATACAATCTTTTATGGTAGGAACTTTATCTTTTTTGAAACAAAATTACTGTACTTAGTAATAATTTAACAGTGGTTGGGCAACGGCCGTGGAAGTCATCGTGGGCCGCCCCCTTACCCGTCATCGCATCCAGTAATTAAGCGATCGCGTCAAGAGAACGTAACGCTATAATTATCGCCCGCCCCTTTAACGAGCTCATTACCAATTAATATCAAAACGCTAATGACAGAGCACCGTCGCGCGGAGACTAGCTCAGAACCGAAAATGCCGGCGGTAAGTAAGTCGTCGTCACTGGCGGGCTCGTGCGTCGCGGTGCACCTGCACTGTCTGCGCTGGTGCGGCTTTTGCCGGCTGCCGGCGCAGACGCCTCGGCCGCTGCGCGTCGCGCACGAGATCTACCGCATGTTTGCTCTCGCCGCCACAGGCATCTACTTGTTGCAGGAATGCATCTACGCGTACCAGGTTTTCTCAGTTATATAGTTTTACAAAAAAAAATGTTGAATATTTCACAAATTTTATTTAGTAGGGGTGACACATATGTTTAGAAAGTTGAAATAGTACGTTATATTACTAGACCTGTGTCGCAAACGCGCAAGCAAGACACTTTAAGCCTTCTGGCTTAAAGGTAGGTGTTAGTGTTGCCCAATGCAAGACCAAGACGTGACTAATCCTTGTCTTGGTTTTGGTCTCACGTCGGTACACCTGATCTTGGTCTTGCTATTGCACACTCAGTCTTGGTCTTGATCTCGGTCTTGCTGCAAGGTCTCGCAAGTTTTGCAATTACCTATTGCTACTTATTAGATATGCAAATGTACGGACGCCGATTATCGTAAACCGCAGGTTTTCATAATGTTTGGCAATGACTGGTGTAATTAACTGGTATCATTTTAATTCGTAGAATTTGTAAAAATAAAATAAATGTTTTTAAACCGAATTCATCTCTTATGCGAATTTCGCAAAAATGTGTTATATGCTTAAACCACGGATACAACTAGCGACATACCTATTACTTTCACTCTTAACATTTTTAAAATTTTTTTGAGTTGTAAAATTTGGCGTACCCTTGTTATCTAATTACTAGATGCAAGATAAATTTCTAAAATAAATAGTAAACTGATCGCAATACATACTTAATTAAAAACCTTTTGATAAATAATAGTCCTCTTAATAAAGTAAGTCCTCTTAAGTAAGTTCGCAAAATAAAGTAGCAATTATAAAAAATAATCAAAAATCTTTAATGCTCAAAATCTGGAAATTGTAATTCTATGGGTTAACACAAATATGCATAACACCATCCAACTAAGATATCACCGACCGACGGCAAATCAAAATAACTTGACTTTTATATCAAACTACATAAGCATTCATTCGCTTAAAAGGGATAGAGCATAATATTAACTGAAAACCACAGTATAACAATTTATATTGCTGTGCATTAACTGTGTTGCAAACACTGTTTGCTATACTGGATTACGCTTGTTTTAATAAATAAGGCTGTGTTCGAATTAGTAGTTTTATGACAATATTGGTAGGTTATAATTTTAAGGGTCAAACCTCGTAACTTCTTTTCAACTAAGATTTAATGACAAAATTGTAAGCACAGACGCAGAAGTTGCTAGAATATTTGAAAATTTTTTTACTGCCATTCCAATTTTGACTACTAAGTCGTTAAATTCATCTCCCACCGCCGCTGAATCCTTACTAAAAGAAAATAATGCAGTTAGTATCACCAATTTAAGGTTCCGTCATGTATTTCCAAACGATATTGTTAAAGCCTTTAAGTCTATAAACATAAAAAATACTGCTGATCTTGATGGTCTTTCAGTCAGAGTAATTAGTTCTATAGTTGATTGTATTGCGCCTTATTTAGCCTGTGTCTTTAATAAATGTGTTGATGATGGTGTCTTTCCTGACCTCATGAAGCAAAGTAAAGTTATTCCACTTTTCAAATCTGGTAGTATTTCTGACCCCACCAATTTCAGGCCTATATCAATACTACCAACTCTCAGTAAAATATTTGAAAAAATTATTCTAAATCAGATGTGTGCACATTTTTATAGTAATAACTTAATGTCTCCTAAATAATTTGGTTTCACTCGGGGTCGCTCTACAACCGATGCTGGTGTCGAGTTGATTAATCATATATTTGATGCATGGGAAGTCTCACATGACGCTATTGGTGTATTCTGTGACCTTTCCAAAGCTTTTGATTATGTGCACCACGACACACTGATCAGGAAACTTCGCCATTATGATGTGGCGGGACGTGATCTCGACCTTCTAAAATCGTATTTGCGTGGTAGGGTACAGAGAGTCGATGTTAACGGTACGAGATCGTCAGGATCTGCAATTAGCATGGGTGTCCCTCAAGGTTCAATTCTAGGCCCATTTTTATTTTTAGTTTATATTAATGACTTACCTAGCCTTATGGAGGGTATAAAACATAAGATAGTATTGTTTGCTGATGATACTTCCTTATTATTTAAAGTTAAAAGGCACCAATGTTCCTACGACGATGTGAACAATGCTATATCTAAAGTAGTTGATTGGTTTGCTGTTAATAACCTACTTCTTAATGAGAAAAAAACAAATTGTGTGAAATTTACATTACCCAATGTTAGAGAGACGGTTACAAACATTGTAGTTAGAAACGAAAAATTGAATATTGTGGACACAGTTGTATTTCTAGGTATAACGTTAGATGCTAAATTGCAAAGTCCCCATATAAGTAAGTTATCAAAACGGCTCGGCTCTGCAGTGTACGCGATTAAAAAAATAAGGAAACTTTCAGACGTCGAAACCGCTAGATTGGTTTACTTCAGCTACTTTCACAGTCTAATGACATACGGAATTTTGCTTTGGGGTAATGCCGCCGATATCAATAGAATCTTTGTCCTGCAGAAACGTGCAGTTAGGGCAATTTACAATCTGGGCCCCAAAGTATCTTTGAGAGATAAGCTTAAGGAAATTAACATTCTTACACTAGCCTCACAGTACATTTATGAAAATGTAATTTATGTTAAAAGGAATAGTAATTTATTTATGAAAAATAGTGACAGACATAACATTAATACGAGGAATACAAATAAACTAGCTTTTCTTGATAGTCGTCTTCACAAAGTCAAAAAATCATTTAAGGGGCAATGTATACGCTTCTATAACAAGATTCCGGTTGATATACAAAATTTGCCTTTCATGAGGTTTAAAACTATAGTGAAACAAAAACTTTATACTAAAGGTTATTATACAACTTCTGCGTACTTGGATGACAAAAATCCGTGGTAGTAACCCGTTTAGCTCATGGAGGTAGTCTCGATCTCTGATGTTGATGGCAAGACCAAGACTGATTTTGGGCAACACTAGTAGGCGTAAGTTTAGCAAGTGACGTGTTCGCCAGAACTTAATAAATGTTAATAAAATCTAAATCCCGATTTTTACGAATATTTTACAAAGATTGAGGGTACCATGAGTATTATTGTGCTTTTGGAAAATGGTCGGTAGCTATCGGTTTATTTAAGGTTTAGCATCATTTGGGTAAGTTTTTTACACGTAAAAAGGGATGGTGCATCTGTACTATAACCCTAATTTAAAATATTTATTTCAGATAACAAAGATCCATTGGTGTTAGTAGTAGTAAAATAAACTTTAAGCTTTTGTTAGTAGGAATATTATATAAAATTAGTTAAAATCTAAAAGTCATGTAATTACGAAGCATCTCGTGCGGAATCATTGTCCGTACGAGATGCCTCAGTACAGGCGCACTGTGGTCCTCTGCCACACTGCCACAACCTTCAGGAACTTGTTGTTACTCCCCCGGAGCCTTCTAACCAACGATGCTACTTTTTTCCACAAGACGGCATGAAAGCAATTCGCATTGGCCAAAGCAAACATTCTGCAGGCGCTGCAGTACCGGGGTAGTCTCAACTTTATCCTGAACACATTATTATATTGGACACGCAGGGAGTTTAGTGACGTTTGGGAACACCTAAACCACAAGCCGCCCATGTACAGACTTTGACAATACGCTTTATAGAGCGTTATTTTGACTTGATCCGCATAGCGGGCAAACCTGCGAGCCAGCATATTCCCGCGTATCGCCAACGCCCTGCGCTCCCTCTCGACATCGTCATCATTCTTAAGGTCGTCGGCAAGAATATGTTCGAGGTATTTAAATCGAGACACCTGCTTTACAGTCATGCCAATTAGTGTAATCGATGGAAATGTGGTCTCTGGACACCTACCGGCGGCCTTGAAGACCATGAACTCACATTTTTTTACATTATATATATAAGTCTGTGCGATGCGTCATAGGCCTCACAGACTACCAACATCTCCCTACTAGACCTCGCGTTCGGGCCCAATAGCACCATGTCGTCCGCGTAACTGATGTTGTTCACACACACACACCCCCCGCACGACATCCGACGCTCATGCCGCTGAGCTTGACTATCAGATCATCAACATACAGGTTGAATAGCTTTGGAGACGACAGCCCCCCCTGTCTCACACCGCACTCAAACCCGTATGCCTGAGAGAGGTTGTTGGATCACTTAACTTAGTTAGTCTGATCCTTGTACCAATATTGAAAAAAAATCACTAGTTCAGCCGGCATAACCCTGTCCTCCATCTTCCTCCAAAACACATCATACGAAACGAGATCGAAAGCTTTGGAGAGATCCGGAAAACAAGCGAACACCAGTATCATGCGTTCTGTATAATATTGGACAGTATGCTTGAGAGCCAGAATCGCGCTTTCTGTTGAGAGTCCAGGCTGAAACCCAAACTGTACGTCGTGGAGATCTAGATACTTTTCTATACATGACTCAAGCATACTGCCCAACACTTTAGCTATCGTAGTCGCAAGTGAAATTGGGCGATAGTTATTTATGTCTGAAATGTCTCCCATCTTGTTCTTCACCATGGGCACCACCGTTGTTTTCATCAAATTATCTGGTAAGTAAGAATGAGTAATGCACATAATGTACCTAATATGAAAAAGCAGAGGCTGTGTACTGACACAGCGAGAGTTATAAAAACTTATTTTTTTCGTAAAAGCAGTGTCTAGTAGTGAAGCGTGGGCGTTGAATGGTGTTATAGCAACTCCTCGTCATCAGTGCACACCACCTACTTGTCATCACTGATGTTACTTACACAGTGCATGTGTGTGTTTGAAATTACTTTACGTATTGGAAGTGGACTTACTTTGAAAAAAGCAGTTTTTGCAGAATTCACATCACACAGGTATTTTTAAAACATCAAGTGACGGGACGAACAAGTCGAGTGCCTGATGGTAAGCTACACGCCTGTCCGTAACATTTACAGTGCCACTCAGAGCTTTAAATTACAAATATTAGAGGGGCACTACCACTGCGCCCGTCACCCTGAGACATAAGTTGACAATGTGCCTGTAATTTCACCAATTTCCTTACTCTTCGAAAACGGAACACAGTAATGCTCACGTTACTGCTTGACGGCAGAAATAGGTAAGGTGGCAGTACTTCCCTGGACGAACTCTTCACAAGGAGCTCTACTGCTACTAAAGGTTCGGAACGAAAGCACATTTACGAGCATAAAATACATTAAAAAATTAAAATCCGAAACCTGTAAAATTTAACTCCTGTTGTTATGCACCATTATATAATATGCTTCTTATAGAGAATGCGTGTAGGTTTATTAAAATATAGATAGTAACGTTAAAGTGACAAAAGTCTACGTTATACACACGTTCTCGAAATGAAATAACTTTAAGTAAATAAACATTGAAAAGAAAAACCCCTGCGCGTATTTAAAAATACAAAAGAAAAGTGAACAAAAGCTGCCAATGATAGCCAAGTTTAGCGTAAATAACATAGTACATGCAAAGAAATCAGAAGCGATGCTTAATATATGGTAAGAGTATATAAATAAAAAAGTGTATATTAATTGTTTTATTTTAATTAAATGAATATAATTGCATTTTTAAAAATTTTAAGAAATCTCGGTTAATTGTCCTATGTTTCGAACTATAATAACACTACATTCCATATCTGTATATATAACTTTACAATTTTCTACAGTAATAAAAATTGCATACTTAACTCAGATTTTTCGCGAAAAATGCAATTTTTTACATTATTCAGATGCATTTAAATATATTTAAAAAATATTTTCCTTTATTTTTTTCCTCACTGAATCGAAGACTAATTGCTTCAAAAATTATTTTGTTAAAAAAAACTTGACTTATTTATTTATCCTAAAGTCTCAAGAGATTTTCCGACATTCACCACCGCAAGTAATGTTTTTTCGACACTTTTTTAAATTCTTGTTCCATGCTTTATTAATTTGGGTTTTAATGATAAGATATTGTTAAATTATTAATAAAATTTCAGCCACATCAACCAGAACCTCATATTCGAACATTTTTCGATTCATTATGCCCTTTTCTATTTGTACCTACAGTTCTCAAGAACTCTGATGATGCGAATGATCGCATTACTTTTAATGTGTTTGCTTTTGTATACGTGTTCATAATATCCATAATTCTTCGATTATGAAAAGACGTCTGACGAGTTCCACGGCTACTTCAATTGTCCAAAAATCTGTATCATTGGGCAAAAATTTATGCCCAGGTTCCAAATAGCGACAGCGAATCGTTTTTAAGGTCGGTGTCTAGAGCCACTTTTAGCATCAATGCAAATTTAATGTTCCTTAAACCCCATAGTATAAGGTCTTCGATGCCCACCGCCAATTCGTTATTAATATGTCATAATAGACACCAACCAACTTTCTGTGCTTCTCTACCTACCTCACCTTTTTCTCATACATACAATAACTTGTGTCATTAGAAACCATGTAAATATTGAAAAGAGGCGAGGACAAATCGACTGCGATAAATATGTCGCGGGGAGGTATATCATTACCTCATACGATATACCGCCATGCTACGCATGATGTCATTGAGGTTAGCCTCAGTTGTCGCCTGGCCATAGTGGTTAAACTATCCATTGTTATGTTAATACGAGAAACGACCGCTTCCTCTCGCTTACCTCTCATTGTTTTCTATATGTTAAGTACCTAATCATTTTCCTCGAAATTTGTTCGCATATAACTAAAATATTTTTCATTTTTTTCCAGGAAAATTTCTTTTGTAGCAAGATCGTATACCAACAAATACAGTATTTTATAAATAGCAATGTGTCTACAACAGTGGAAATCACATGACTTCTAATGACACAGGATATTGTATTCAAAGGTAGAAGGTGAGGCAGGTAGAGAAACACAGGAAGTTGGCTCGTGTCTATTGTGGCATATTAATAACGAATTGGCGGTGGGCATCGAAGACCTTATACAATGGAGTGATCACGAGGTCAAAATACGAACATCAAATTGGTACTGATGCTAAAAGTGGCTCTGAAAACCTATTCGACCTTAAAAATGGTTCGCTATCGCTATTTGGAACCTGGGAATAATTTTTTGCCCCACGATACAGATTTTTGAAAAATTTAATATGCCTTGAAACACGTGTAACGTCTTTACAGAATCGAAGAATATATGGATATTATAAAGATATGTAAGAAAGCAACCCCATTAAAAGTAATGCGAATGAAATCAGATAGGTTCTTGGGAACTGTACACATACAAAAAGGGTATAATTAATCAAAAAGTGTTCAAAAATAAGAAAAAGTAAATTGCCTTGCTACAAAAGAAATATTCCTGAAAAAAGATAAAAAATATTTTATTTATATGCTAACAAATTTTTAAGAAATTTATTAGGTACTTAGCATACAGAAAACAATAAGAGGTAAGCGAGAGGGAGCGGTCGTTCCTCATATTAAACTGTACTGAACAGCTTTTAAATCGGTATAAAGCACAAGTTCGATCGTGTATGGAGTACTGTTGCCATCTTTGGGACGGCTCTGCCCACTACCAGTTAGCTGTCGAAAATTCAAAATGTCGACCATCGCAGAAAAGTAGCCTGCTTGTCGGTTTTCTATCGGATACATTTCGGGGAGTGTGCGCAGGAACTCTTCAATTTGGTTCCGCCCTCACTGTAGTATAGATAGACTATATTTATAGTCTAACTGCAACATGTGGTGCGTATTGCTTTGTTAGCATTTAAGTTTACATTTTATTTTATATTGTATTATTTACTCACTTATATTCTGGAGACCGAACAATAAACATGTATCTTTAAATCAACTTATTTCACTCTACCATCTACGTTCATCCTTTTTAATAATATGAGAACGTTCCTCCTTCGGTCGACTAGAAGGTCCGGAGCACTCCATTCTTATGTCGTTGATATTCCACCTATTGGCACTAAGCGCTTTGCTTCCCCCTTTCTGATGCGTGCAGCAAAGGAATGAAATGCTCTACGGCATCTGTCGGCATCTGTATTTCTCGAAAAGTAGAATTTGGGGCTGAATAGACTAGGCAAAAGAAGATTAGAGTGAATAGGCATTTTTTAGTCAGACGCGTCCATCGTCGGTCACATCGTCGCTTAACATCGGGTGAGATTGTGGCCAAGCGTGTGTCTATTATGTATTTAAAAAAGAAATTAAAAAAAAATTAACATAACAATGGATAGTTTAACGCCACTATGACCAGGCGATAATTGAGGCAAAGCTCAATGACGTCATGCGTAGCTTGGCGGTATATCGCCTAACCTCCACGTGGCATATTTATCGCAGTCGATTTCTCCTCACCTTTTTCCAATAGTTATATGTAACAACCTGTTTTTGTTTATTATTTCTGTTTATTTCGTTTGTGGCGCTCAAATTTTACGTTGATAAAATTACCGTGCAGAGCTGTCAAAATGTTTTAAACTCAGATGTGATCTTGCCATGGCCATGTTTGGCATTGCGATATACTTTCGTGGCCATTGGTCGCGGCACACTCGGCACATGAGTAAAGAAAACATGAGCACGCGGTGCGTCAAAAATGTGACGTCACACTGCTTGACACGTTCATATTGTGATAAAATTTCAAAGTGGCGGTTTTATTAGTCGAATAGACAGCTAAATGTGGGTATAATAGCTTTATCTCGGAAACATGCAACGGGAGCTGGTCTATGTTTAATACCAAATGACGTCGGGCCGTTCTATGAAAATTTGGAAGGTGATTTTTAAAATTTGAAAGGCTATTTTCAAATTCTACATTTTTTAAGTAACCAACATTTAGTAAGAACGTTCCAAAGTCGAATGGATAGTTTGATTTTGCCGTAAAAAATAGCCAGTATGATCCAAGAAATTATATTAAACGTAAGTGGAACATTCTGTCCCCATTAAAAAAATAATACAAGTTACAACAAAATGATTCAAGTTTATGTGAATCTTATTGGCCATCAAATTTCATAGTTTAGTATTTTTTACGAACGATTCATACTCAAGTGGATCATGTCATGTGTTGTTGAATGAGAGTCTAGGACACCTGGATCGTTCATTAAAAATATTTCTGGGAATATGGCGTTTTTTTTTTCAAAATGCTACATACTTATAATTTCTCCAATATTTTACTTTTTCGCCTTTCTGGCACGAAAGATTAGACTACGATGAATCACGTGGTATACTTAACTCATTTTCGACCTAAGTGTGACTTGAATCTTTTTATTATAACTATGTCCAAGTGACGGGACTAACAAGTCGTGCGCCTGATGGTAAGCTACACGCCTGTCCATAACAATTGCAGTGTCCTCAGAGCTTTAATACGCAAAGATATGAGGGGCACTGCCACTGGTCCCGTCACTCTGAGACATAAGTTGACAAGTTCCATGAGCCTGCAATTTCAATAGCACCCTTACCCTCCAAAAGCGGAACACAGTAATGCTGACATTACTGCTTCGCAGCAAAAATAAGTAAGGTGGCAGTACTTCCCTGGACGAACTCTTTCACAAGGAGCTTTACTGCTACTCCAGAAGATTCTTTCAAGAAGATCACTAGATTGAAAGTTATTTTTTGTGCAATAATAAAGTTCATATTTATACATTTTTTTACTATTGAATTATCGATATAATATATATTTAATTTATTGTTAAATATATATTATATATATATGGGTTATGTTACCCATTGGAGATACTCGATTTCAGAGCCCAAGAAGCAGTTTTAGTTTTTTAAATTTTAGTTTAATCACAAATATTATTTTTGAGTTTTAACGGGCAGGAGCGCAACGACATGGGGAAGCTGTCGCGGGTGATGTTCCTGCTATTGTGCCACATCACATCGATTGTGAAGCAGGCGGTGTTCCACGTGGACGCGGACAGCATCGACGCTCTTGTCGCCAGTCTCGACGGTAGGGAACGTTACACATGTGCGACGTGCTCTTGCCCAGTATTAATTTTTATATTACTTGTAGATGCGGCGCTGCAGGGCGGTTCGTCGGCAGCGAATGAGCTTCTGTCGCGCCGCACTTCGACCGCCCGGCGGCTTCAGCGCGCCTATTCGGGGATGGCTGTGCTCACTTGCATTCTCTGGCTGGTGCTAACGGCGGCACGGTATGCGCGCACACGCACCGTCGACTTTCCCTTCTGGCTGCCAGCCGCCGCTGACGAACCTCATCAGTCAGTATCGCTTTCGGACTTGCTCAATCAATTCGATACTTATCATCAGTCAGACCTATCATCGTTGCAGATTCGCGCTCGTGCTAGTGTACTCGTACTACGTAACGACACTGGTCGGCATCGCCAACACAACGATGGACGCTTTTATAGGAACTCTTCTAGACCAGTACACGGCGCAACTCGAGATTTTGAGGTGACCGGCAGAAGAACTTGCAGCTGACAGTTGTCCAGTTGTAGTGGATAGTATTCTTTGCTGAGGCTTTGTTTTCTACTTCAAGCAGAGACCAATAGATGGCTGATAGTTCACGTGTTGTAGGTTGGACGTGCAGGCTCTGTCGCTGCGCGCCGCGGACACGGATGAGGCTATACTTCTGGAGCTCTTTTATGAGTGCCTCGATCATTACAACAAAATTTGCACGTGAGATTAATCCTCTTTTTATTGTTGCACTGAATTCATTAGACGGAATCGCTTATTACACGACCCGATTTCAAAGGCTAAAGATGGGCGTGGCCCCTAATTAAGACGAAACTCGCTCTTGTTTGCGACCCTAAATCAAAAACTCAGTTAAGGTTCCTTGAAATCGGCGAATATAATAAGCGTTTTAGCTTTAATAATAACAATACCTTTAAACTACATATTTTTTTAGAAGATATAATTTATTTATTTAAAGGAAATGAAACTATTTTTCCGGGTTTAAATCGCGTATATTTGTTTTTTCAAACTAACTGACGTTTCGGGCCCTTTACAGGTCCCATGATCAAGGTTGACTGAGGTGCTACAGTTTTCAACCAGTTATGCCTAATATTAATGCAAACCACCTTATTTTTCACTATAGTTACAATAGTTATTAATTAAATACCTTATTTTTAATTTTACAAAGAAACCATTCCAATTTACGCTACATTAAGTTTTACAAATTATTTTATAGCATGAATTTTTATTAAGTTCAATTTATTATTAATTAATAATAGAAATTAGTCAAATCAGTCTTATGTCTGTTTGGGATTTTTCATCAGAGGAATACTGGATCTCAAACTGTGGTGTGTGGTGGTACGGAGAAATCATCTTCCCTGTTTGCAGTCTGCGAGCATGTCATGGATATACCTACACATTCAATGAAGTTTGACAAACCCCAGGTCCTTGCAAAAGAAATCCGTTGTCTACCCAGGATGCTGCGAGAGGCCAATGAAATTAAAAAAACATCCTAATTTCAACAGGGAAGATGGTTTCACCGTACCACCAGTTTAGGATCCAGTATTTCCTCTGATGAAAAATCCCAAACAGACATAAGACTGCAGTACTAATTAATATGTTTTAGTTTATTCTAATCTCGTAGCGCTGGTGAGCGGAGGGGGTGCGTAGAAATTGAGACGCAGACGGAAAGTGCACAAGGCGTGTATTAGATACACGACGTAACAAAAAGGTATGCGGCTAGGGACCCAGCTGTATGTCTCACTAGCGTGCAAGCACACAGTTCAGTGCCAAAACCTCAGATAGCAGTAATAGGACCGAATCGTCTCAACAACTTGAGTGCCGTTCAGTGCCGTATCAATGCTGTAGTGGTAGTACGCATCAACAATTCAAAACATATGAGATTACTTATACTATTGGAGTTAACAAAACGATAGCGCGTTTCAGAGTACAACTAACGCCATCTAGCGGTGGAACTATTGGCAGGTTGAGGTTATAGTTGTTACAGTCTCCCCCTCTGTCTCCGTTAGGCGTCCCGACGAAGAGACAGGAAAGGATGGTTAAATGTTTTTTTTTGGCCGGCCCCGACCGCGTTTCTTAAACAGTAGTGCTGCTGGTTGAGGTGCCGTTTTCTTAGGTCGTCCCCGTTTTCGTAATGGTTGTATTGGCTGAGGATGATCCTTGTCGTCACTCTTGAAAGGTGTCAGTGCAGATGAATGATATACTCCGAGAGCAACACCGGGATTTTTTATGTCCTCAATTTCATATGAAGAAGGGCCCTTTTGCTTTTTTATCACGTAAGGTCCGTCACGACGTGGTGCAAATTTGGAGCAAACACTTCTGTTCGCCTTACTAATTGGATGCAGAGTCGCCAATACTAGATCACCAATATTATAGCCGGGATCCTTCCGTCTATTTCGATCTACATATTCTTTTCTCTTTTCTTCTTTCATTTCTTGTACCTCTTTTGCTTTTTCCAAGGAGCTGGCTAATTGTAACAGCCTTGGTGTAATTTCGGGAATGAAGTTCTCTGATAGCGCTATTTAAATTATGAAGATTGTCATCAACGGTTCGGAGTTCTCTTCCAAAAGTCAGATAAGCTGGCGTAAACTCAGTAGACATGCGTGATGTCGTATTCATAGCGAAACGAATGCATGGTTACTGTTTTGGCCAGTTACGGTGATTGCCCCCTAAGATTATTGCGAGTTGTTTCTTAAAGTCTCTGTTTCGCCTTTCTACAGGATTCGTTTCCGGATGACACACGGGAGTGAAGGCATGCTTTATTTTCAAACAATAAGCGATTTGCTGCATAACGGCGCTCACAAATTGCGTACCGTTGTCGCTAATCATACTCCGTGGGATCACATATTGCAGGAAAATCTCATTCACCAGTATCATAGCACATTTCTCAGCTGTTGCAGATTCTAAAGCAAATAATTCGACCCACCTTGAGGCCAAATCTTCGACAATTAATATCCATGTCAGGCCGTCAACTGAAGTCGGTAAAGGTCCAAATAAGTCAAATGCAATTGTTTCGAATCGCTGATTCATCACTGTGGTCTGTAATAAGCTCGCAGGTTTTTGATTAGCAGCTTTATAACGCTGACAATCTATACAATTTCTTACATAACTATCGATATACTTCCGCATCCCAGGCCAGAAGTAGCGTTTTGAAATGTTTTGGTGCGTCTTTTCAGACCCGTGGTGCCCCGCCATGGGGCTATCGTGGTAAACTGTTAGAACATTAGCCCATTCATGTTCAGGAACAACCAACTGTGCGTCATCTGTTTCAATACAGGGATTGTTGCGATACAACAGGCCATTATTTAGAAAATAGCCTTTATTGCTCCAATAATATGCATTCTCTTTATTCTTAGTTTCTTCTAAAGCTTCCAGAGAACTTGGATACAGCCCATACCACAGTTAATGCCTCTTTCTCAGTTGTGGTGTAGTTGCGTTCTGATTGGGTGAGAAGTCTACTAGCATATTCCACAGGGTGCTCGTCTTCTCCCTCCCCCTGGACCACGACCGCTCCATGAGCGTAATTGCTCGCATTGGTCTTGCGGACGTAGGGCTTCGATTCGTCGGCTTGTCTCAGAATTGGAGCAGATGTCAGCAGTCGTTTCAGTTCACAATATGCTGCGTCTTGTTTATTGCTCCATGATCATTTCTCGTTCTTCTTAGTAAGACGTGTTAGAGGCTCGGCAATCTTCGAAAAATTCTCGATAAAGCGGCGGTACCAGGAACAAGTTTGTAGGAACGTGACCAAATGTTTCAAAGTAGTTGGCGTTGTGTTAAATATACGGAACGGAGCTGCGTTGACAAGTGAAACGATCGCTGGTTAGCTTTGCACTGATTTATTATAATATGAACTGGTGGTGGGCGCAGCCACACATACCTACATACATAACATTCCTCCCTCTATTATAATAACCTTAATACAAATATTAAAAGTACTTTTTATAAGACACAATGGGACGTGGGCGTAACAATCTTTTTGGTACAACTCCGGGACCCTGTGGCTTGTCCCGGGTATCGACTTCGGCTTCCGCTTCGTAGAACTCATCGTCGGAATTCGATTGTCTCGCAGTAGCGCAGACGGAATCAGCTAGCATCTCATCGTCCCTCTGTAGAGTTCCGCTCGCATATTCGTCCTCTCCCGACCATGGAGAATCGCTCGGCACATACAGTTCGGCTCTCCTTCCACTGGCTGACTGTGAAGCAATATTCGGTGATGGGAGTTCAACCTGGGGTTCCGGTGATTCGGGAGACAGCGATAATGGTTCCGACGAGGACAGCGGTGTCAGAGACGACAGCGGCGAAGACGGCGGCGGCGGCGGCGGAGGCGACTGTGGCGGCGGCAGCGGCGGCGGCGGTGACGCAACAGGTAAGTTTACATTTGAACTATGTACCGAGTCCCAATAATTGTTACTAGTCCCTTTGTACAACATTAATTGATTTATGTGTCTTTTATACATTTCCGAACTATCGATATCTTTCACTAAATATAGAACATTTCCTAATTTTTTCTGTACGATTCCTTTACACCATGTATACTTTGTTTTATTAATAAATTTTTTGTACAGTACAATGTCGTTTTTCTTTAATTTTTTAACTCTGGTTTTCCCTTCCTTATTTCGTGGACACTGTTGGTTATTTATTATATCAGGCGACGGCGGTGGCGAGGGTGCCGATGAGTTTGGATCAATCAAATCTAATCTAGATCTTAACTTGTGACCGAATACCAGTTGAGCCGGAGACAGTCCCGTGGTAGTGTTAACAGAGTTACGGTAATCCATTAGGTATTTCAGTAATTTTGTCCACGTATCCCCCGCGTTGAGATCCAACAAAAGACACGACTTTATTCCCCTTTTCACAATTTTTACAAAACTTTCGGCCTGGCCGTTGCTCGACGGGTGGTAGACCGGTGACGTCATATGCGAAATCCCGTTTGTTGAACAAAACAACTCAAATTCCCGCGAACAAAAAGCTGTGCCGTTATCACTAACAATCGTTTTAGGAACACCGAATCTAGACATAAATTCACATAATTTTAAAATCACTGCCGCTGATGACGTGGACGTTTTCATATTGTATACCTCTACCCACTTAGTATGTGCGTCTACTGCTACTAAGTATACACAACCTTTAATTGGACCAAGGAAATCTATGTGAATTCTATCAAATGATCGAGCTGGGTACTCCCACGGAGTCAGCGGGGCGCGGGGCGGCGAGGGGCGCAACTGAATGCACACATCACACGTACCTATCATGGTTTCCACCGCTTGGTCAATTCCTGGAAACCAAAATCTAGAACGAGCCTCGCCCTTTGTTTTAACTATACCTAAATGCGACGAATGTAATTCTTTTAACATTGTCTGGTGTAAACTCGCGGGGATGACGACCTTATGACCTCTCATTACGCATCCATTCTCATAAGACAGTTGTGATCTACACAAATGATACGGTTTTAACCGAATATCATCAACTTTAGGCGGCCAGCCTTTCATAATGCAGTTAATGACTAGACGTAAGACTATGTCCGATTTTGTTTCTTCGCGTAATCTGTGTAAAGTGACGGGCATGCTGCCGTCTACTACGAAACAGACATAGGTCGCCCGGTCATATGCTACCTCGCAATCGCAGCACTTGCATTGTTCGGTGCACGCGCACTCGTGCACTTCTCTCGGCAGGCTCGCGCGCGACAGGTAGTCCGCACTGTTATCAGCGCTGCGAACGTATTCTATTTTGTAGTTATAGCTACTCAGAAACAAAGCGTACCGTTGTAATCTATTTGCAGACATCTCTGGAATGCCCTTATGTGGCCCGAAAATGGACAGAAGTGGCTTGTGGTCCGTTCGTAATATGAAAGGTTCGCTTCTGCCATACAAATATTGATGGAATCGTCGCACGCCATAAATTATTGCAGTTGCCTCTTTCTGTATTTGAGCATATCGCCTTTCCGCCGCATTTAACGTACGCGACATGAAAGATAAGGGTCGTTCTACACCGTCTTTACCTATTTGAGAAAGAATAGCTCCCAACCCCTTAGGAGAAGCGTCGACGGTTAAAATGATCGTCGCACTTGAATCGAAATGTGTAAGAACCTGTTCCGATGTCATAACTTTTTTAATTTCTCGAAATGCCGTATCATGAACTTCATTCCAGTCCCATTTACAACCCTTTTTCAATAATTCATATAAAGGACTGAGGATTGCGGATGCATTTCGTACAAAATTCCTATAATAGTTTATGAGCCCTAGGAATGACTGCAACTCACTAACATTTTTCGGAACTGGTGCTTCAACCATGGCCTTAATTTTTTCCGGTGCTTTCTTCAACCCGTCTTTCGTAATGATATAGCCAAGATAATGAACTTTATCCTGAAAAAATCTACATTTTTCTTTTTGTAATGTAAGGCCTGCGTCCTGCAGCCGCTTCAGCACAGCATTCAGCCTTTCAAGATGCTCCTTCCAGTCCTTACCAGTGACCAAAATGTCATCTAATAGACATAATACGCCATCTAGACCTGAAAGCACCCCTTCGATTGCGCGTTGAAAAATGGAGGGTGCGCTGGCTAACCCAAATACTAATCGAGAGAAAGTATATAACCCACGGTTTGTATTTATGCAAGTAAGATTTTTTGACTCGTTATCTAAAACAAACTGGTTATATGCCATAGATAAATCTAATTTACTAAAGTGTTGACCCCCATGTATTTTAGAAAACAGTTCACTAGTTGTGGGAAGTGGATATTTTTCCACCTGCAGCTGTTTGTTTATAGTTCTAGAGTAATCGGCACACAATCTGACTGACCCATTCTTTTTAAGAACTGGAACTATCGGAGATGCGTATTCTGAGTGCTCGACAGGCTCAATAATACCTAACCGGACCAACCTGTCAATTTCGTGATTGACCTTATCGCGCAAAGCGAATGCGACGGGACGTGCCTTGCAGAAAACCGGTTTAGCATTATCTTTCAACAACAACTTAATTTTGTACTTGTTAAAAGTGCCTAATTTGTCCGAAAACAGCTCTGAATATTGTTGTTGCAACAATTCAACAGGTGGTACAGAATCCACACAAAAATTCACCGGTACCAATTGCAAATTAAACGCTGATATAAAATCCCTACCCAGAAGAGGCGGGCCTCCGTCACGTATTACATAAAAGACAATAACGTGAGTTTGTCCCGCATAACTTATCGGCAAACGAAATATACCTACACATTCAATTTTCTTTCCATTGTACGTCATCAGCTGTTTCATAGTATTGGATAACGGCACATCTTTAAAATGAGTTTTATACAAGACCTCCGACACTACAGTTACTGTTGACCCACTGTCTATTTCAAATTGAAACGGTCTATTTTTAATTCGAACTGTTTCTACCATGGGTGCACCCCTAAATGAACGAATGTAATAAAGCTCACCGTCATCGCTTTCGTCATCCTCACCCTGGCCACCGCAATCCACCTTTACGTAATTCACTTTAGAACACATTTTACGCAAATGGCCTTTCACGTGACACTTTTTGCAAACGTAATTTGCAAATTTACACTCCGAGGACTTATGATTCGTAAACCCACAAACACTACACTTTACTTTGCCTACACTTCCACGATTCCCGTTGTTTGAGATCTTGAATAACTGATCATGGGACGCGCTCGCTAGGCCGGCGCCGCCGGCGGCGGAGCTTGCGGCCGCGGCGCTCCGTGCCCTGACATGGTTCTCCGCGGTCTCCACGACCTTGGCTAGCGTGAGACCGGCTAAATCCTTTGCGTACAGCTCTTCTTTTTCTCGTCCCGGTAGCATGCCCATTATGAACTTGTCGCGCAGCGCCTCTTCGACATTGAGGAAGCCACACTTTGCAGTCAGACCTCGTAATCTCGCTGCCCACTGAGAATGGGTTTCACCCACTTGTTGAGCGGCCGCGTAAAAGTTGTGACGCTCACCAAACCCGACACTCTTTGGTGTGAAGTGAGTGTCTAAAAGATTTAATAAATCTTCGTAGGGCACGTCGTCGATTTCCTTGGGTAAAGTCAGGTCCGTTGCTAGCTTGTAGGTACCCTCTGTGAGTGCGCTTAGCAGGATCGCCTTTCTTCTCTTGACCTCAGGATCCGTCGATTCATTAAAATTATTTGCTACGAAATATTGCCCAATACGACCTTTATACGTTTTCCATGTGTGTGTATTGTGATCGAAACTATTTAAAATCCCGAACTGAGCACTAATATTCGCCATTTTGCACAATATTTTTTTTTTTTTGCGGGTAGTTCGTCGCCACTGTTAAATATACGGAACGGAGCTGCGTTGACAAGTGAAACGATCGCTGGTTAGCTTTGCACTGATTTATTATAATATGAACTGGTGGTGGGCGCAGCCACACATACCTACATACATAACACGTTGGTAGGTTAACAATGGCAGCTGTCTTTTCTGGGTCTACTTGTAGCCCGTTCGGCGTAATGAGATGTCCCAAATATCGCAGTGAAGAGCAGCAGAATCGACATTTCTCTTTATTGGCCGTCAAATTATATTGTCGAAGCTTTGAGAGTACATCTCGAAGGTCAGAGAGATGAGATTGAAAACTTTCAGAAAACACGATGAGATCATCAAGGTAGGCTAATAATTTTACATTATTGAGACTGACGCGGAATCTATCTATCAGCCTTTGAAACGTTCCAGGTGCATTTTTCAAACCAAACGGCATCCTTGTAAACTTGAATATACCGAAAGGAGTGATAAATGCAGTTTTATCTTGGTCTTCTTTCCTCATTGGTATTTGTCAGTATCCTGCTTTCAGGTCCAATGCCGACATAAATGGAGTGGGCTTCGCTTCGTGGAGCAAATCGTCGATCCTTGGGATCGGATATGTGTCAGGTACCGTTATGGCGTTTAGCCTCCTATAGTCCACGCATAGTCGTAGTGATCCGTTTGGTTTAGGGACCATTACAACAGGGGCAGCCCAAGGAGAGTTACAGGGCTCAATGATTTTGTCTTTCAACAAGTTTTCAAGTTCGCTTTTAAGAATCTCTTTACGAGGCGGAGATAATCTATAAGGTGGCATCGATATGGGTGGATGATCCACTATATGTATACAATGCTCTGTCTCGGAAGTAGGTTTACCATTGGGAACAAAAACATCAATATACTCTTTTAACAATCTATCTAGCTCTACAGATTGCTTTGCATTTATTGTACTAACATCTACAGAATTAATACTAATGTCGGTTTCGGGGAATAAAGCTCTTAACGGCGGAGATAAGTTTACTTCTTGAGTGTCGACGCTCCATACAGCATCTCTCATCATATAATCAAAGCGCGGAGAGTAACCGTCGAAGATTGTTGGTCTGCTTTGTTTGACTTGAATCGGTGATCCAGGTAAGTCCAATGGAATCAACTTGTAGGGTATTGATGCCGTTTCTGTCGGGAGAGCAGCTTCCTTCCTTTGGCAAAGCGCGGAGGATTCACATGCCGATACAGCTGTGGCAGAGGTAGCGGCATCATTGTCCTGAGTGCGTATTAATTTATTAGCAGGATCCGATGAATGTGGCGGTGTTGTGGTAGAGAGTGCTAGGTTAATTATTTTTGGAGGACTTGGGTGGAGGCTCTTTTCCTTATTGAAGTGCACAAAGTCCTCCGTATACATCTCATGTATTTCGGTAGGATCATGGATGAAGGTCCATGTGAATTGGGCGAGATTCAGTACAATGCCAGCCTTCTTTATAAATCCAATTCCCAGCAGGGTGCGGTTGTCTGGTGACTCCGGTAGCACGATGAAATTATTCTGGAAGGTACGGCCACCCAAAGTAACTGCTGCGTCAAACGTAAGTACTTTTCGACGCCGCTGAATTCCATCAGCTAAGGTAACATAAACCATTTGCTCGTGGGTCGTAAGGCCACGTAATTTGAGGGCTTCGTACAGTTGGAAAGACGCAACACTGGTCTTCGCGCAAGTGTCAATAAACGCTGTGCCATCCAGTCCATTCACCTTGATAAACACTGCAGGTCTTGCTTGTGCGTCAATACGTATGCCTATGGCGCAAAAATTTAGGTTTTTAGCAGTAGAAGCTGTTGGCTTGTTTGAACACGTCGGTCAATTGCTACGGTAGATGCCTGGTGCTCCACAGCCGTAGCAAGATACTTTTGAAAGCAGTGGGGTTGCTTCTTGTTTGATATCTTGAGGTGGAGGAGGTGCCTTCGCCTCACTGTTCTTACGCTTGCGACATTGATCGTAAGAATGGCCATAGTTCCTGCAGAAGTTGCATCTTCCTTTATTGTAATTGGATCTTGCCGGTAGAGGTGTCCCTGGTTCCGTGGGTTTTTCTTGTAATATTTGTTCAACGGCACGGGCCCCATCAAGAAGTTCGTCAAAAGTATTGACAGTGTTGCGTGGGACCTTGTCGCGAATGCTAAGGTGCAGCAAGCAATATATTAAGTCCATCTGTTGTTTCTCTTCTAGCTTCTCGTTTGTCGGTAGTTGAGAAAATAGCATCTTCTTCTTGGCTATGAAACGTGCAGTATGTACGGCCTCTTCTTGTTTTTCACTTATGATGTCGTGATAGATTAGATACTCGGGCTTCTTTGGCGCAAAGTTGCAGCGCAGGCGGTGTTCGAACTCGTTCCAGGAAGTAACTTCATCTTTTAGGCCTTGCTACCATACAGCAGCCTCACCTCGTAGAAGTAATGGAAGGCCATCTAGGGTTGCAGTGTCCGGTATTTGTTCTATTTTTTTAAAAACGCGAACGGCGGCTAGGAAGGCTTCAACGGCGTCCACGCTTTTCTCACCGTCGTACGAGGCATTGCACGAGGCGAAGGTGTTGCAGCGCTGGCTCCCAATTGTCGCCAGAAGACGGTCGAACTGGTCTTCGCTGAGATTCATCTTCTTTCGTCTCTACTTTGTGGTCGTCTTCAACTTGTACGTAGTCCTTCGTCCAGACCGCGTTACAAAATTTTGAGGTTCTATGTGGCCCTCGTTGGGCGCCAGATTGTAGCGCTGGCGAGCGGAGGAGGTGCGTAGAAATTGAGACGCAGACGGAAAGTGCACAAGGCGTATATTAGATTCACGACGAAACAAAAAAGGTATGCGGTTAGGGACCCAGCTGTATGTCTCACTAGCGTGCAAGCACACAGTTCAGTGCCAAAACCTCAGAATAGCAGTAATAGGACCGAATCGTCTCAACAACTTGAGTGCCGTTCAGTGCCGTATCAATGCTGTAGTGGTAGTAAGCATCAACAATTCTTTTTTTTTCTTTTTTTTATGAATGTAATTTTGCAGTTGGCCGCTGATGGCCTTTACTGCGCCACCGGAGAAAAAGGGCGAGCTGAAGGCTCATAACCCCTAAGATAAACTTAAAGCTAAGTAGCGAGCCTGAGGGCACCCAAGTGGGCACGGACCTCGGCTCAGGGCGCTACTGGAGACTTCCGCCAGAAGGGCGTGCTGTAGGAGAGAATATCAACAATTCAAAACATATGAGATTACTTATACTAATTTTTTTTTTTAAATAACGCACACACTCAACATAGCCCCGCACTAGGGAAACCCTGTGTCGCGGGTGCCATGGACACACACATAGACAACCACAAATTACACCCAAACTCACGAGAGAAATAAATGTAAGCCATACAAACATTTCTCCCGGCCCGGGAATCGAACCTGGGACCTCTGCGTGGCAGTCCGGCATGGTAACCGTTCGGCCACAGAGGCAGTTGGAGTTAACAAAACGATAGCGCGTTTCAGAGTACAACTAACGCCATCTAGCGGTGGTGCGATGGAACTATTGGCGGGTTGAGGTTATAGTTGTTACAATCTATTATTAATTCATAATAAATTGAAGTTAATAAAAATTCATTCTATAAAATAATTTGTAAAATTTAATGTAGCGTACATTGGAATGTTTTCTTTGTAAAATTAAAAATAAGGTATTTAATAACTATTGTAACTATAGTGAAAAATAGGGTGGTTTGCATTAATATTAGACATACCTGGTTGAAGGCTGTACCACCTCAGTCAACCGTGACCATGCGATCTGTAAAGGGCCCAAATCGTCGGTTGGTTTGAAAAAACAAATATACGCGATTTAAATCCGGAAAAATAGTTTCATTTCCTATGTGTAACAATCGCAAAAACCTAAGAACTCGATATTTATTTATTTATTTTTATATAGTCACGCCCTTCGATTGAGGGGCAGAGACTATCGATCGCCACTTCGCACGATCTTTACAAACCTCTCTTGCTTCACTTACATTCATAAATCTCTTCATACAGCCCTCCTATTCTTCTCAGTCCAACCTTTTTAAGAACACTCTCAATTTGATCAGAGAATGTTCTCTGTGGCCCTCCTCTTCAAATGAGTCCTTCTACATTAGCTGTATATAGTTCTTTCGTTGATCTACATTCATTCATCCGCTCTATGTGCCCAAACCACCGCAGCATACCCATTTCTATTTTTGTCACTACATCCTCTTTCAGACCACTTTTTCATCTCTATCGCACAGATATATGTATTTAAACTAGACAAGTTACGGGACGATTTCAATGGCACTTTATTTAATAAACAATTATATTCCACAGGAAAAGATTGTTTTTGCACAATTCTCGAAAGATTAATTAGCGAATTATTGAGTTCATTTAATGTTAAAGGACCTGTTTTATACTCACAATTATTCAATTTTGATCGTGTATTTTGTATGAATCTCAACACAAAACCAAAAACGCGCTGAATTCTTTTATATGAAGAAAATCTACTAAAGTCAATTAAGGACTCTGATTGCAAACCAGATTGAGATATTGTGACAGATAATAATAATAATAGAACTTGTTGTTTAGGCTTTGATTTGAGCTCGGGCAAGTTTTCTTGAACTGTAAGCGAAAAGTTATTAGGGATAGAAAGGTTCGACTCGCGTAAGCATGAGGGACCATACCACCACAAATCGCACTTTGACAGATTGTCCAAACTGAGGCCTCGCGATAGAATATCTGCGGGATTGTTTTGTCCCTCGATATGTAGGAAAATGGTATTACCTGCAAGTTCATTTATCTCCACAACACGATTCTGTACAAAAATTTTCATCGAATGAGGCGGCATTCATAACCACCCGAGAACTATGGTGGAATCTGTCCAAAACACAATTTTATCAAATTCCATACTCAATGCTTTCACAATTTTATCACACAAACGTGCTCCAATTAACATACCACACAATTCAAGACGTGGAATACTCAATGGTTTTATTGGGGCGACGCGAGTTTTAGAACACAATAAATTTGAGGTTATGCGCGCTCGTTCATACTTGTCTGTGGCAGTAGGGCCCTCTACGTCTACGGTGCGAATATATGCGCAGGAACCGTGTGCAACTTCACTCGCATCGGTGAAAATATGCAATTCGATTCTCATTGGATGCGAACCTAAGACATGTCGAGGAATGCGAATGTTTGGCAACTTAGACAAGGAACTTAGGAATGTTTGCCAAGACAGTACAATTTCATGGGGCAACGCATCATCCCAGTCAACTTTACAAAGCCAAAGCTTTTGCATTAATATTTTTGCTGTAATTATCGCGGGACTCAACAAACCTATAGGGTCGTCTATTTGCGACAAAACCGATAAAATTTGACGTTTAGTTCCCTGAATTGGACTTCAGTTATTCTTGAAACAAAATGTGATTCAGCCGAATTATTTTGCCAACCCAAGCCCAAAGTTTTGCTAGAACAGTCCTCCACCTCCACCAAGAGACAGATATTTTGTCTGACTACCTTCGCGTGCTACATTCGATGCATTATGGGGCGAATTAAAAAGCCATTTCCTTAAGGGAAAACAACCGGACATATATGTATACTTCGGTGACCCTTTTACAAATATCGGCTAATTTTTGTTTACAATCTGCACCCGTAATAAAAATCATTGAGGATTAAGGCTGAGCCATGTCTTTTTCCAATTTTTGCTCCTCCTTATATACTCCATGAATGACACCATCAAATTGGGTGATTTGTGAATCGATTTTGATGATTCTTTTTTGTTGGAAAGAGAGTACATATCTCGATAGTGGTCCCATTAAAAAAGAAGAAAATATTCTACGTCTAAGAGTGGTAAATTAGGGGATGAATCCGGTTTCTCGCACTTTCCGAAAACCGATTTTAGTAAAACTTGGCAAATAGTTGCAAATCCACGAACTTTTGAGGTTGGTGTTTTTGGTGCTCTATACCGAGATTATCTTTTTTTCATTCACAACGACAGCGATTGTGCATATGATAGATTTATAAACTAAAATTTAAAACTAAAATTATAATTAGCGGTACCTTGTACCTTTCGAGGTAATAAGTATTAATAAACATCGTTAAAATAAACTGAGAAACAAGGTCGTCACGTAATAAAAATATGATAAATTAAGTCGTATAGTTATTGGTTGGTGGCTTCATAGACAAATTTAAAATGTACAATTTCTATTCGGGTTAATCGTTGAGCGGGCTGTAGGAGCGAAATGTTAGTCGTAAAGATGCACGTGAAATCTTTTTATTCGTAATTTGTTGAGTAATGTATGGGTACTTAACCTAATTGACGTCGTGCGTGTGTTACTGTCTTATTAAGTGCGGAGTTAGATCAATATCCCCTACACAATAAGAATGTGATAAAAAAATATCCTAAAGGACGTTGCATATTTACCTTATCTCTCCAGACTGTAAAAATGCATAGACAATATAAGCGTTTTGCATGCTAAAAGATGCACCGTCTGGTTCGGGACAAATATAAAGGAGTACGTATTTTTTATAACAAACACATGTAAAAGACATATGCAAAGGAATGAAAGAGGTCTCGGTGTGCAGGGGCGCGCAACTGGTGGCGCACGTGTTCGGCGACGCGACCTTCGTGCAGTTCGCCATCGGCGGCTGGATCCTCTGCATGGCGGCGTACAAAGTCGTCAGCGTCAGTGTCGTTTCAATGATTAGACTGACCGAATCATTCGATAGACGCACTCACGTTGCGGTTTCGTCGGTGCGCAGATAAGCGTGCTGAGCGTGGAGTTCGCTTCGATGCTGCTGTTCATCATGTGCATCCTCACCGAGCTGTTCCTGTACTGCTACTTCGGGAACCAGCTCACCGAGGAGGTGCGTAAGCGCAGGCCCCGCGCCAGGGCCGGGCGGGCAGTGACGGGCCGTGACGTCGCAGAGCGCGCGCGTGCAGCAGGCGCTGTTCGCCTGCGGCTGGGAGCGCTGGCCGCGCGGGGCGAGGCGCGCGCGCCGGGCGCTGCTGCTGGCGCGCGAGCGGGCGCAGCGGCCGCTGCGCGCCGTCGCCGCCGGCGTGGTGCCGCTCTCGCTCGATACCTTCCTCAAGGTAACCGTCATTCGTCCCTCCGTCCCTCCGTCCCTCCGTCTCTGCGTCCTCGCCCTTCGCCCGACTACGCATTTATTTCCGTTTCAGATTCTGAAGTCATCGTATACGTTTTACGCAGTGTTGCGTCAGACGAAGTGAACTCACTCGATGCGATTCCGCGCTTTATATATACGTGACACGTAGTATTTGCTATATCTATGTAGTAGACACGCAATAAATAATAGTGTACACTTAGATATATAAAGTCATTTTGTACTTTTAAAAGAAAGTGCAAGCTTTGGTTACTTTCGAGGCAAAGATCAGAAAGTAATTGGATGTAGTTTGTAATTATATTTTTACGTGCTGTTCATCTCTACCTAAACCCCAAATTTGAGTATTTTTTGGGTGGAATATTTAACTATCTCAGGTACTATTAGGACAATAGATTTATTATAACTTTAAATGAGTATATATATAAATTTATTATTTTGTGATATCTTTTGGAGCTACTCGAGACGCGTCAGACAAATATTATGATTAAAATGTAGCGAGTTTCAAAAAGGTAGGGTCTGAAAAACAGCTTAAGCTGAGACTCTATCCTTTTTATCTACACAATATCTATAAGTGATGTTATTTACGACTAAATTGTTTTGTAAATGTAGATAAATAAAGTTCTTTATTATTATTATTATTAATAAGATACACGAAAACTTGAAACACTTAAAAAAGTAGATAGACAATTACAATCTATTATGGCAACCAAGTAGTTTAACTGTGAAGCACAGAGTGCATCCAATCTTGTCTCTCTTATTTTTCTATTTCAATTTGACGACAATTTGTTGTTAAGCAAAATCAGCATTAGTATTGACATTTTCTTAAGTGACTTTATGCACCAATATTTCGAAAACCTGATCGAAATGCAAATGTGTTAATCACACCATGAGGGCAGGAGTAAGGGCACCATCGCCTGAGAACTGCCATGGGATGCACGTGGCATATGTACAAAAAATCCGTAAGTAACGAAGAAACTTTGGAATTGATGTTAGTTTGCCCATATTTTATCAGAATATCAAAATAAACTTATATATTATTACCA